CCGCGCTTCTGGTCAGCAGTGCCACAACTGTGGTCAGTCAGAAAGCTTCTGCATCAACTTTAAGCTTTTCCAGCTGTTTTTGAAACTCATCTGGAAAGTCTTCCACATACACCAAGGGAGATGCCAACAAGTGCTGAAGCTGCTCAGCTTAACGGGACTGTTAGTCTGCACGCTGACTGATTCTCTCCCCCCAGCCCCACTCCTTTTCTATTCAGATCATGGGATAACCAGAAAGTAAAGAGGTTTCTGATAGTTCTTCACTATGCATGGGAGTATTTGACACCTAGCCCAAAAACTTTCTAATTTCCACTTTTACCAACCTTCAAAGCGGTGAGAAGTGTCTAGTCCAGTTTGCAGTGCTAACTACCTGCCTGCCTGCAGCAGAACTCAGGTGAACTACACCTGAACTACAGCTGGTCAGAACTACAGCTGTAGTTGCTGAGGTCTACCTCCAAGACGTCAAGGAAACACAGACCCAGGATCTGACCTAGTTCTAAATCCTGACTATTGTATCACTTGTTTTGCTCCAAAGCACAAACTGTGTGTCTGAGAGGTGCAGCAGGTCACTGACCATCTATCTCCTCTTGATTACAGGGGCTTCAGTCTGCCCCCCAACTTCTAGCTCAGGGGCTGGGCACTCAGAGGACAACTGGTCTGGCTGCTAAAGACCGAGGCAAAGAAGGCATCAGGGACCTCAGCCTGTCCCTCGTCCCCGGCCTCCGTATTTCCCCCATGTCCAGTAGAGGATGGTGATTCTCCTTAGCTCCCCCATTGCTGTTACTGTTGTTATAGGAATAGTTTTTATTGTCTTTTATGGCAGTAGCCAGATTAAGTTCTAGTTGGGCTTTGGCCTTTCTATTTTTCTCCCTGCAGAGCCTCACAGAATCTTTGTAGCCTTCCTGGGTTGCCTTCCCTAATTGGCTCTCTCACCAGCTCTGTCAGGAAATTATCTTCCCCACACTCCAGGAACCTCCTCGACTCTTTCCTCTGCTCCTAGACCATTTCCTCTAACATGAATAGCAGAATTAATTTAAAAAATAAAAAAAAAGAAAAATAACAGAGAAGGTGGAAAAAGAAAAGTCTACAAGAATCAAGAAAATAATACCATGTGTAAGAATTCTATGATAGTACATGGGAAAGGGTGTAAGGAAAAGTCGTTTGGAGGTTGAAAAAAGGATAGGGTAAAGGGCAAGGATAAAATAGAAGACTTGGAGCCAACTTTGGTAGTACAAGCGAGGACAGATCCAGGATGAACAGAGAGACAGGAGCTCCCACAGGAGCCCAGGGCCAGGGCAGCCCCCGAGCTGAGCCACAGGCCCTGCTCCCCTACTGCAGGCACAGCAGGAGAGCCTCAGTGTGAGTGGGATGGGACAGAGCTTCACAGCACTGGGCTGCTCTGGGGTCTGCAAGTCAGTGCACACGCCTCAGGCAGAGCAGGAGACACTTACAGAGCAACAGATGCAGTGGCAGCAGCAGGGCAGAGGGAGGTGAATATGGGTCCCACTTACACCTGAGAGAAGCAAAGAGGAGAGTTGACAGCGAGTTGAATGTGAGGGGTGTATGTGTGTAAAATGAGCCTTAATGACATGCCAAATACATGGCTTTCAGTGTCTGGGCACTCACCTCCCCGGCAGGCCTGAATAAAGAACATTTTAGGCTTATTCTGGAGATTTGGACAGTTTGCATTATCAAAGAAGCGGAAGACCTCCTGCAACTGAGAGGAGAAAGAAGATAAATATTCTTCACTGCAGCCTTCTGTGAGCCAAAGCCAGTCTCACCTGCCTCCCTGTCTTTTAGTTACTACCTCACCAGTCTAGGTATTTTCTCTTTCATCTCCAAACTCAGTGCGACAAACAAATCTCTTCCTGCCAGTTTGAGTTCCTACTCACCTCAAACTCCTACTAGCTGGAGTTCATACACTCTACCTAGTCCTTGCACAGGAGGAGAGAAGGAAATAACTTCTCCTACTTTGATGCCATTCTCATCTTCGAGGCCTCTCACAGCCTCCTGCCCTTCCCTTTCCACAAGCCCCCATTTTTAACTTTTTAAAACCCGAGAATCCTCAGTCTCCCATCACTTCACCTTTTTTAGGAAAAACACTGTTGTGTTGTCCAGGAGACAAGCTACACTGCCCCAGCAGGACCCAGCAGCATACCTGCAGCAGTTTGCCATCACTGCCATAAACCCCACCCTCCACGCCGTGGGACAGGAGAGCTACGATGCAGGAATCCACGTTCTGGTGATCTGGCAGCTTAGAGAATCTCTCCAAGGCACACTGCATCTCCTGCAGGAGAGAGGAGAAAAAGCTTCATGCTTTCTAGACTTGTGCAGTGAAAAGTGGGTCCATATAAGGGGAAACCCACAACTGGTCCTTTTGTTATAAACTAAAGCCTACGTGTATCACAGGACAGGACAAGAGAAGTGTCCCATTAAAAAAAAACCAGCAGCAAAATGGTTTTGTTCTTTTATGTTCAGTCCCAAGTATAATGTTGTGAAACAGGAATCACTTAGGCCAATGGATTCAACGTAGGAGAAAACAACTGATACCTAACTCAGTAACTGATACCCACTTAGGTCTGACCTGGCAGAATACTGGAATCCTCTGATACATACTTCAGGCATTCAAACACAAGACAATTTGAAGAGGAAAGCTTTAGGGACTCTGACAATACAGCACAGGCAAAAGTCCTATCATAACGTTGCAAAAGCTGCCTCCTTGAATAACACACTTTATCAGGTTCTTTACCACTTGGTTTCATGAGGATTTAAAAGGAAGAAGAACAAATGAGGCTGGAGAATGCAGAAAGAGAGTGACCTGATACAGTCACTCATGGAACATCACCTGCTTTATTAAGGCACAGCCACTCCTCTAGCAAAGCAAAGACTGAAACAGTGGAATTTAACTGCATAGGGACTGGTAACAGGATGGCAACTGACTCCATCAGTGAAAGGGCATGAAAACATCACTTGCACTTTCAAAGGCCAGGTCAAGTATTTGCAAAGCTTAAGCTTCAGGAGAGCAGAACACTGGGAAAGTTAATCTAGAGTCAAGTGGATACTTTATTCATTTGTAGTTTTAACACACATGCCAAGTGTGGTCTCGACATTGTTGCCTCCTGCACTACAGGGCAGACTGGAGTAGCACCTCCTGCAGTCCTGGTCTCCACCCGAGCTCTCCTGCCTGCCAAGCTTCCTCATATCTGCCAGTATGTGAGCAGACATCACCTCTTTTAGCCTTATTTTATATTCACAAGTGACCACTCACATCTTCCTGTTGGAGCTTGGCTACACCAGAGGGAACCTCTTACAGGGTTTCTGTACCAGTTACCGCCCCCCATGCAGACTGACTGTGAAGCACTGGGATCCATCCCCTTACCTGGGCACTCTGGTCATGGAAGACAGTCACCTGATACCCGAGCTGCTTGAAGAGCATCTCCAGGGCAGTGCAGTCCACATCTCCCCCTGCACGATACTCCAGGTCATTCTCACCACTGAAATGGACATTGCTGAGAATAAGAGCTAAGCCTCGGGGCTCTGAGATCAGTTTGTATGCCTGCAAAGAGTTAAAATGGGTAAATTTTAATCTGATCTGCATCCCAACAAAGCTGCATTTCAGTTCAGTTTTACATAGCACGTGTTTGGTTGATCTCCAAACACCTCACATCTTCCCCACCTTAAGTGTTTGTCAGCTACTCACCAAGTGCAAACACCTCACATCTTCCCCACCTTAAGAGTTTCTCTGTCAGCTACTCACCAAGTGCTGATGAGAATGATAGAATTTAGGAGTGCAGCACTTCACGGGAGGAATTGTGGGACCATCTCCATTATCCAAGGAATGTTCCACTGGTTCTGTGCAAAACAAGCACAGCAACAATAAACATTGCCAACTACAAAGCCTCTGGTAGTAACTTCCAAATTCTGAACAACGTGGTCTGAGGCATATTGCTGTATCTACAGACACAATGAAACATAGCACAAAAGCACAAATGCACTGGAACAGTACACTTCTTTTTAATATCATTTTAATTGGTAACTGTTTTTTTTGTTTTGCATGTGGGTTAGCCTTACCTAGGGCCTCAAAATAAGTTCTACAGAGTATGAAAACAGAATTCTCATGTAAATTTAGAGCTGTCATTTTGTACAGCACTCCTTTCATATTAGGCTAAAAACCACTGCTAGAAATGTTCAAACAGTGTTTTCCCTTTCATAAAAGGCCCCCCATGCTCAATGGGCACAATTACTTATCTTTTGCTGAACATATGTGTAAGTGATCGAGCTAGATCTCTCTACCTTCCATCAAATGGAATGCCCTTTTTTGATCACCTGCCTCTGAACAACTCCTTCCTCTGGGTAACAGCAGACGAGGGGAATGACAATCAACTGTTTGCCACTTGCAGACAGACACTCACTCCCCTACCCTGGAGAACCTGATTTAATGACACTCATGGTCTCCTCTGAAATCCTTTTTCAGCTTTGAGACTCGTCTCTCCTAGTTGGAGGCACAGAGGTTCTTAAAAAAAACCAATCCTAACACCTCTGCACCTAAAGTAACAAAAAAAAATAAAGCCTTCAAAATCTAGACACTTGTTCTTTACCACCAGAGATAACTCCTAAAAGCAAACAGCCACAGCTGTAGTCAGGCTCCACGAGTACTCCAGGAACTCCCAGGGGTACCAAGCACTCGCCAGGAGATTCACTCCCACAGCTGGTGCCCCGAGTCCCAGACGCTTGTGAAAGAGGCGGATTTGCTGCGCTGACAGCAACCACAGAAACCTACGGTGGGCCCATGGACGAGGCCTTGCATTTAAACCCTGCTTGCTGAGAAGGGAGGCCACGCTCAGGAGCAGTGGCCCAGGTCAGCACCGTCTCAGGGGGGCTGAGTGAGGGGCATTAGGAGCCAGCCCGTGGGGTCACTCACCGGCCCAGCGCGGCCGCTTGGCGTTCCCCAGCTCGCCGGCAGGCAGGGGCGGCTCTGGTCCGTAGCAGCGTTCCACCTGCACCACATCCAACAAACCATGAGAGAGAGAGCAGAAAACAGCTATTTTCCTCTCTATGGCACAGCCCTGCAGGTCCCATGCAGCAGAGATGTGTGTTTACATACACAGAGACAGGACTTATAAACCAGCATTATACGGTTCACATCCAAACGAAACATCGTGACAAGGCAGAAGCAGCATCTGCCAATGCAAAATTCCTTCTCTTCTTCATCATCTTTCTACCCACATCCCCAGTTTCGAATCCTTACACTGAAGTCATCATATCCTCCTCACTTTGGCCAAAAATGGATTTGTCCAGTGATTCCTATCTTTTTGTCACATTCAAGATTTCATTGTGGATATAGTAAAGCACAATTGAAAACAAAAAAGACAGAAAAGGCAATCTAATAAACCCTACATCTGAATTAGGGAACACGTCTCTGCAGAAGTACCTGCTCTTCCTTTCTTTGTATCAAGTATGTTTACTGTGAGCTCCCATCCTTGCCAATGCACTAAGAATACTGAATCTTTGCAAAATTCTTCCTGTAGTCCAACACTAACCATGCCAGAGAGTGAAATGTGAAGATGATAACAAAATAAAGAAGGGTCCCTCTCTCCTCTCCTGGCTTTGTGTAGTTTTCTACACAGAGAATTACTGAGCACCAAATTAAATTATTTCAGAGAAAACACTTCCTTTGCAGCTTTTGGGTTCTTGATGACACATTCATTAATGACACGTTGGATGCAGGAACACCCAAGAGCCTCGTGCAGTTCAGTGAAGGGGACTGCAGGTCCTGCTCCCGGGGAGGCGCCGGCCCAGGCACCAGCATATGCTGGGGGCCCACAAGCTGAGCAGCAGCTTGGCAGGGGAGGCCCTGGGGAACCTGGTGGACACCAAGCTGAGCAGCAGCTTGGCAGGGGAGGCCCTGGGGAACCTGGGGGACACCAAGCTGAGCAGCAGCTTGGCAGGGGACGG